TTTTTTATTAAATTGATAAAACTTTGTTTCCATTGTATTCATAATAATCTGTTATACATAGCATTAAAATGTTCATTAAAATAAAAAAAAAAATAAAAAAAGAGGCAAAGAAGTCCACTCTGGGACAGGCAATCACAGTGCACTCACCTTCCTGCCTTAAAAAGCTCCTCTCACACATGATGCTCCCCACCCTAATGACTCCTTCCTGCTGACAACAGGTTCATTTGGTGCTTGACCAGGACCCTTCCATCACTATCTCCACTAGCAGTCCTCTCAACCCAGCCACCTTACCTCCCACCTCTGATGAGGCCCCTCACCACAACTGCACTGAACTCTTACAGATGACCGGTACACCCTTCCGCCACATTGACAGCACTCCTCTCCCTACAGTCTCTGACACATGGTTTACAGATGGCAGCTCAACCAACAGGAACACCCACAAAAGGGCAGGATATGCCATAGTCAGCAGGTCTACAATAATATGGGCAAGTCCACTGCCACCGGGGACATCTTCACAAAAGGCAGAACTTACAGCTTTCACATCAGGCCTCACACTAGCCAAGGACAAAAGCATAAATATCTACACAGACTCAAAGTACACATTTAGTATCCTTCATTCCTGTGCTGACATCTGGCAAGAAAGAAGTCTAATCAGCACTCAAAGAAGTCCCATCACCAACGCACCGCTCACCCTCAAGCTTCTACAAGCAGCACAACTTCCAAAGCAGGAAGCAGCCGTTCACCGTGGAGGACACCAGACACCATCAGACCCTATTTCTTAGGGCAATACCTTTGCTGACACACAGGCCAAATTAGCTGCACAGCAGCCACACCCTTCTCATCCTCTCCTCCTTATCCCAAACACCCTGCCCTCACCTCAACACTTGCCTAGACAGCTCCAATTACTCCACAAACCAAACTACAGCCCAAACACCCAGGGCTGGAGTTTTCATGGACCAAAGCTTCTCTTCCCAGATCAACAGGCCTCAACCATCATCACAGACTTACACAGTTGCTTTCATGTGGGCACCCAAGCTCTATGTAAACGCCTTACTCCATTCGCTACCCACCCCTCCCTAAAAACCATTATGTGCCAAGTCACTCAAGGTTGCCATCTCAGTGCCAAAACCTCTCCTTGGGGACACCTGTCTCCTCCTTCTTTCCCAACCCACTAACTTTGTGGACACACTCCGGGTGAAGACTGGCAGATATAGATTTTACATATATGCTTCGTCATAAGACCTATAAATATCTTTTTACCTTTGTATGCACTTTCTCAGGATGGACAGAGGCCCCTCTCACCGGCCAACAGACTTCGGATGTAGTTTGCAAAACCGTTATACAAGAGATAATCCCTTCATTTGGCTTACCCTGATCTAGCTCTCTCAGAGCACCAGCAGGTAACCTCAAGTCTAAACATTTCTTGGAACCTGCATATACTATACCATCCACTGTCTTCAGGCAAAGGAGAAATGGAAGATGGTTTTGTAAAAACATACCTCACAAAACTTATTTTAGAACTATACCTGCCCTGGCCTCAGCTCCTTCCCTTAGCCCTAACTCAACTCAAGCCACTTCCCACGACACTCACTTTTCTAAGTTCCTCTGAGCTTATCGCGGTAGACCATTCTTGTTTCACAACTTTTCCACCTCACAAACCTTCCTCCTGTTGCTGACTCTATCCCAACCCTCTCCTTCCTCCAACCTTTTGAGACAACACACCTACCTCTGCCTTCCACAACCCATAGACAACCCTCAACCAAACCCCCTTATAACTCCTGGAGATTTACTATATCTCAGATCTCCTAAGCCTACAGGGCTGCAGCCCAGGTGGACAGGCCCTCATCTGCTTGTCCTCACAACAGAAACAGTGGTCAAGGTTCCTGGCCTTCCTTCCTTCCTGGCTCCACATCACACAAACCTCAACACCTCTGATCCCAAACTTTCACTCCCAGAGTGGTCCCTGCACCTTCTCTTCCTCAGCCACCTCTGCCTCACCAAACGTTCCTAAAACTTCCAGGTAATGGGTCACCTCATGTATTGCGTTCCTGTCTGGTTCCTGATCCCCTGCCTCCTGCTATTTCTCACATTCGCTGTTGGGCTTTGGGCTGTATGTCCAGGAGACTTTCAAATGCCACACAAGGTTGCTTGCCTAGCCTTGTACAGGGTGACAGTCCTTTGGACGCACTGCTCTTCTCTGTCTGCCCTTGCCCTCGCATCACTAGGGATGATGGGGTACTCGAGACTATTCGCCTTTGTGCTCAGGGTTCTTGTTCTCTCCGCCACATAATGGCAACTCATTTCACATTCAGAATCCTCAAACTCGAACCACACAATCACCGAGTAATAGGCTCTGCCTATGTTGAAAAAGCTACCTCCATCCCCTTACTCTTCTTTTCCTTTTCTGCTCACTTCTACTGCCAAAGTGGCTATTTCCCAGCCGGAAGGCTTACAAACACTTTTGCCTTGATGATCCTTCATACCTGAAAAATCATAGGACCTTAAACATGTGTACAAATTGATAAAAGACACCTACTGTCTACCTTTGCTCTGCCCGTGGGGAGAGATGTGATGGCAGTTTGAGCTTCTACTGTCCCCACTGGGGAGGGGAAACTATATGTTTCCATAATGGCATCCATTGGACTAATAATGATCTACACATCTTCCTCAAGCTGGGAAAACATCCACGTCTCCCATTCTTTAACTGCAGTATTTGGCAGATCAATAACACAATCGAAAATCCTCACCACGATGTCTCGGCTGCAGGGGTCAGTCGGGGAGGCCATCTCCTCAATAGGCCCAACAGATCCAACGGTCCTGGGCTTGCTCTTAAGCTATTCTGCGTTTTAACACCTGACAATTCTCTTCTCAACCTACTCATCATATTGCCCATCACTTCTTTAGCCCTTCAAATCCTTCCTTGGACGATACCACAACTCCTAAGAAATGTATTCCAATTCATTCAGAACTACAGCTTTACTGTAAGCTCCACCAATTTTTCTGACTGCTGGCTCTGCATTGTCTTTCCAACAAGATTTGTATATGGCCTACCTTATAATCGTAAACACCTTTTCCCTCCCTACTGATTCTAAGGAACAAAACATTGGGCCCTTATGCCTGGCATCTCAGTATAATTCGCCAAAAAACCTCTCTTGCATCCAGCACCCTGACCCTCCCCAATCTGCCCTTCAAGTGGGAGATCTAAACCTCTGTACACATTCCCTCCTGAGTCCCAACACCTCAAATCCTCTCTGCTCTCCCCATGGACTATTTTTCATTTGTGGCCAGGGAGCTTCTACCTGCCTCCTACCCACCTAGCAAGGCCCCTGCACTCTGGCTATCGTGGCCCCATGTCTCCCCCACCAAGAGCTAAGTCCTTTCTCATCTACAAAACACGCCACAAACTGGTCTCACAGGGCAGCCCACAGGGCTCCAATTCTGGAAGGTCTGAGTCTCTTTTCAGCCATCAGTGCTGGTTTGGGAGTAGGGGCGCAGGTGGCACAGGCCACCACTTCTATTTCACGCTTTCTACGTCTATTTACAAGGTTACAGCAGCCATCAACTTTCTCCAAAACCAAATCAACCCCCTGGCAGCAGTAGTCCCCCAAAACTGTTGAGCTCTTGATGTCCTGATAGCACATAAAGGTGAGACCTGCCTCGCGTTGGCGTTCAGGAAGACTACTGCCACTTTGTTAGCCAGTCAGGTATTGTCACGCAGAAAGTGCATGACCTTCCTGACCTTGTTGCAAAGATACAAAACTCACAATACAAAACAGACCCACAGGCTCTTCTTGTTCCTTCTCCTGGTGGCCCAGTCCTGGCTCCTGCACACCATCCTCCTCACTCTCTTGGTCCTCTAACCATGATCATTCTCTCGTTACTCATAGTATCTTGTCTTTTTAAACTTTTTTTGAGATTTCTCCAATCTAGGATACGATCTTTCACTACCAACAAGCTTTTTGTCCGAGCCAAGGCCCCTGCTACCAGCTTCCACGTGGGCCTGACCCGTCATCCCAAAGAACACCCCAGCCCCTACCACCATGCCCCCTGGCAGCAGGAAGTAGCTAGAAAGAGTACTCCTTCCTTTTAATAACGAAAAGACAAGAATGATGGGTCTGCGCCCACGCAGCAGTCCTTTAGCACAGCGGCAAGTCAGCTTGGCGAGCAGACTCTAGAAGTAACAACCCTGAGCCACTCGTAGACTGTCTTCCTTTCCCTCTCCCCAGGTTAACCAGGAACATGCTCTTTTGATTTCCTCACTGTACCGCCCACGTACACTCCGCCCCAGCCCAATCCATACAAGCACCACCCGTTCCTGCCTCGAGCTTCTCCGGCTTCTCTTTCAGCCGCCCTCCCATGCCCACCTGCTTCTCTTTCATGCCAGAGGAAGGAACCTTACAGTTACGGGCAAGGCAGTGGCTGTCCACATAACTCTATGTACAGTTTTGAACTAAAATATCTCCCAAATGTCTCCTGTGTTTTGGGGGTGGCTGGATCCTGGGGGTGCTGTACTCAGCACAAGATGCAGCCACTGATGAGGGCACGGTTGACTGTGCTGTTAGGAGACAGGCCCTCGCCAGAACGGGTAGGTTCACTGGGGGCATGAGCTGGAAGGCCACATTTCTGCATCCAGGCCACCAGGCAGTGCGCAGATGTCCTCCTCCAGGCCTGTCCACCATGCCCCTCTGCCCTGGGCCCAGCCCACCCTGGACAGAAACTGGGAGCCAAAAAACACCTTTCATCTCTAGGAACCGTCTTCCCACCTCTACGTAAAGTCAGCTCTCTCTTGCAGTGTGGGTCATACAACAAAACCAAGCAACCTAAAAAAAAAAAATGCTCCTTCTGGATTGTGGGTGTTGGGGTTTGGTCCCAACAAAAGGCACTGCTCAAGTATTTGGAAAGAAAAGCCACTTTTGTATTAGAAAGCAAAACACCAAGAACATGGCCTCTGCAGGACTTCATGGAAATGACCAGGCAAAGGACCCGGCCAGGACACTGACCTGAACTTGCCGGTGCGCACCTGTAGCGCTCTCATTCCGCATCTCTGGGCACCACCGACGTCACCCACGATATCGTCTCCAATCATGATGGCCTGTCAGGGCAGTGAAATACGTGCAGAAGTGAGTCAGGAGAATTTTATTCCTGTGCTCCTTCGCCTTTTTTGACATAATAAACTGCTCGATTTAATGTTTAAAACCACCATCACATGAAGTAAACAAGATAATATTGTCGTTGTATTGATTAAAAGTCAACCCACCCTGAATGTAGCTCCTAGCTGCCTCCTTGGGCTGAGGCTCTGAATGATATATATTTGCACTTTTAAAATCAATCAACAGGCATTAAAGTGATTTGACGCAGTGAGGCCAAGTGGGGATGCTGATGCACCCAGGCTTTACCTGAACGCAGGCTACACTTTATGCTAAATTTTCCATAGCCTGGTGGTGCTGTAAGCCCTTGGTTCTGTGAAAGCTGATTAAATCCCTGGCAAATCTTTGTAATCTACAGTTTAGGGTGTTGCTTTTAATAGTGAAGATGTTATGTATCAAAACCAAAACAATACACAACAGCAAAATATACACACAGGAAATGCCCCCAGTCTGGATACCATTCCAAAGGCAGCCACAAGATAGACTCCTTGATTGAAGCAACTAGAAACTAGACAAACTCTTATGAGCCAACAGTTTTTAAGACTTCAGGTAAGGGTAGACATTGATTTCTGTGATATAGGTTGGTGGGGGGGAAGACCTTGAGATTGGTCCAGCCCACTGCCATCAGAATTTCCAGACCTCAGATAAAGGGGGATACTATACAGTGAGTCATATCCCCTGAGGTCATTCATTGAAGCCCTAGCCTCCAGTGTGTGTGTATTTGCAGAATGGGCCAATAAGGAGCTAATTAGGATTGCAAAGAGGTCACAAGATTGGGCCCTGATGCTTTATCTTGGTCTTAACCATCTAGCAGAAAAGTATAAAAATGAAGTATAAAAAGTAAAGCCATATTAATATGCTGAGCTGTAAAAGGCTCAAGTTGTCAACTTCTGACATTGCCAGCTCTATGGATAACCCACTACTATTAAGAACTACTGGACTATATTGGATTATTTTGCTGAATTCATACACCTACAATATTTAAATGGCAATGGAATACCCATCTCTGACAAAACTAAACAAAAAAAGGGACACAAATGAAGGACCATTTTGTATGTGTATATTCAAAATAGTTCGGAGAGATATACAGCTACTTTCTCTTAATTCAATGAGAAGAAACATTTGTACTAATAGTGTTTGGACAGGATATCATGTCTGCATTTTGTACTATGAATGACCACTACGAACACAACAATATGCAATGTATTCATTATTGAAACTGTCTCGTTGCTATTTGTTACAGGCAGATCTCTGGCTCACATTTCAGAAGTGTCAGTCCATGCTTGGCTGGGTTCAAAGGAGAAAGACAGAGCCAGAGCCACAGCCACCTCTGAACACTGTTGCACTGGGCATCAAAACCTCAATACACAAGTCTTTGGGAGATATTTCATGTCTCAACCATCAAGACCCGAATCAAAGATGAAGCCAAGGCCCTGCAAAAGCACACACTCAGGGATCTGTTTCCTCCAAGTGCAGGCCATCTCCTAAATAGTCCACTCAGCCACGAATTCATTAGTACCCTCCTAATCACCTCTTGAGGCCCCATCTCTGAACCCTGCAGCACTGGGGATCAAGACCACACAAGGGCCAGCAAGATAGCTCAGCAGACTATACGCTTGCTGAGGCGAGAACAGGGACTGGAGTTCTATCCCTGGCACCACATGCCATGCCAGTCCTAGCCCCGGGCACTGAGACAGGGCATGGTGGTGCATGCCTGTAATCCCAGCACTGGGAAGGGTGAAAACAGGAAGATCACTATGAGTCTGAGCTGAGTGGTGAGACCCTGTACCAAATACATTAAAAAAAAAGACCTCACACAAGTCTTTGGGGGCTACTTCATATTTAAACTATTAGGTCCCAAAACTAAGGACATGAAGCCAAGATTCTGTGGAGACTGAAGTAGTACCATTTGATGGGACACAGAATCAGATAGAATGGCACAGAGAGGACTGCAGGGATACGGTACTGATCAACACACTTGAGTAAGGACATGCCCACAGCCTGGGAAAGAAATACAGAAGCAATGAAAGAAACCGAGCCTGGACCTCATACAGGGTAGAGTTTGTTCTCACCAGCCAGGCTGGAAAATGTTTGTTTGGTTTTTGGTTTTTCTCACTGTTAGTTCAGGCTGGCCTTAAAGTCATGGTAATCCTCCAGCCTCAGCCTTCTGAGTGCTGGCGTTACAGGAATGTGTGCTCACACCAGGCTGAAAAAATTTATATCTCCCACAGCACTGGGTAGCAGTCTTACTTAGAAGCATCCTGCCTCGCTGGTGGAGAGTAATTAATCCCAGACCAAACCCTATTCTGGGGCTGCCTCCCAAGCCTTAAAAAGCAAGGTTTAGCAGGATCCAACTGTTTTCAAGTAATTTAGTGGTGTTCTAGAATAAATCTTAGACATATTTGTGGTCATACAAAAATATCTAACACCTGAAAAGGTACACTTCACAATCACATTCAATAAAAGAATTATCAGACATGCAACAAAAGAACACAATTCAAACAAAGGAGAAAAGTCTAACAAAACTAATCCTGAACTGACACAGATCTGAGAATTAGCAGGTAACACTGCAGTTCTTGTAATTGTGCTCCATATGTTCCAAACATGAAATAGAGAAATAGAAGATAGAAGAAAAAGGTCCACGTCTTCTAGAGATGAAAACTGTACTGCCAGGATCAAAAAAATACATTAGGTGAGATGGAGGCCAAAGTAGACGCTGCCGAGGAAAGGACTAAGGAAACTGAAACTACAGCAACAGAAGCTATCCAAAGTGAAACAGAGAGAGAAAGACAAAATTTTTTTTAAATGAATACAGCATCACTGAAGTTTAAGGGAAGTAGAATATATGTTCACTTGAGTCCCTAAAAGTGAGATGAGAAAGGAGACAAAGATATTTGAAGAATAATAGCTGAAAAATCTCAAAACTCATTACAAATTATAAACCCACAGATTCAAAATCCTAATGAGCACCAAGTACAAGTAACGTGAAAAAAAGCTGCACCGAGGTACCCGACAGTCAAACCACTCATGGAGGACAAGCCCAGCAGGGACGCATGCCTATGACCCCAGCTGCTTGGAGGGCTGAAGCAGGAGGACTAAGTTCCAGTCTCACCTGGATAACTTAGCAAGACTCTGGCTTGAAATAAAAGATAAAAGGGAAGGAGAGAAGAAGAGAAGGTACGAAAATGCAATACATATATGTGCCAACTCCCCATGATGAATGTATTCATTACATGTCACATACATGCAAAGACAATAAAATTAAAAATTATAAATAAAAAGGGCTAGGAATAAACTTAGTTTGGGGTACAGTGTTTGCCTAGTAATGTGTGAGGTTCTGGGTTCAAGCCCCATTCTTGGGGGGAAATACATCTACTGCAATGGACTCCACCTTTCTCCCTCCCCTAGAAATGCCCAGTCAAGGCAGGAAATCTGGGCTGTTGACTGGCAATTACTTGGTGATCAAATGAGTGGATTACCTTCCAAATCCAAGTTCACTGTCAGGGCCTGGAGACCACAAGGACAACCAGTGAAGAGTAGGGGATGAGAATAACCTATCTCAGTGTTGTCGAGGCCTTAATTATGTGGGTTTTATTTTATCCCATTTGCCTGTCTTGATATTATTCAATGAATTTATTCATCTTTCTATGTAAACCAATGTACTTTTGAAGAAAAAAACCCAGCTATTCTCATCCCCCACCATAAGCATTTAATTAAAAGCTTCCAAATGCTTTCAGAGGATTCTGCTGCTGGAAGGCTGGCTAGCACTCTATATGTAGTCATTCATGTTGCAGATCTGCCCTCACGACCAATCAGAAATGTCCTCGGTCCCAGCCAGGCTGAGAAACCAACACTGATGGGGACAGATGCTTTAAAACTGACAGTTGCTCCACAAGTTTCCTCTCTGAATGCAGATGCCAGGTAGGGTTAGCTGATGAGTAAATACTTTAGCCAACATCAAGGAAAAAAACAACGGACTTTTCATCTTCCAGTTCCAGGTGCTTGGTTGCCGCAGTTTACAGTACAGTTATGGCCAAGTCCAAGAACCACACCATGCACAACCAGTCCCAAAAATGGCACAGAAATGGCATCAAGAAACCTCGGTCACAAAGATACAAATCTCTGAAGGGGGTGGATCCCAAGTTCTTCAGGAACATGCATTTTGCCAAGCAGCACAACCAGAAGGGCTTCAAGAAGATGCAGGCAAACAGTGCCAAGGCCATGAGTGCACACACCGAGGCTATCAAGGCCCTCGTCAAGCCCAAGGAGGTCAAGCCCAAGATCATTCCAAAGGGAGTAAACTGCGGGCTCACTTGATTTGCCTATATTGCCCGCCCCAAGCTTGGGAAGCGTATCCACACCCGCACTGCCAAGGGTCACAGGCCTTGCTGGCCAAAGGCCCAGGCTCCAGCCAAGGCTGAGGCTCCAGCTTCTGCTCCAGCCCAGGCCCCCAAAGGTGCCCAGGCCCCCATGAGGCTCCACGGTAAAAGCCTCTTATGGGCCCATCTCAAAACAGAAGGACTGAGGGGCCAGGGAGATGGCTCAGTAGAGTAAGCACTTGCCTGGCAGGCCTAAGGGTCTGAGTTCAAATCCCCAGTTCTGCAAAAATAAAACAAAACACAGAAGGACTGGTGTGATCCCTGGGGTGCCATCTGTTGGGGGGTGGTGTCCTCCCATGCTCTTTGTACAAATGAACCCGAGGCAGGATATAAAACAAAAAACAACAACAAAAACATTGATCATACAGTACTCATAAGATAGACATTTTGACTTCTTGTGGGCCAGCCATTTCAGCTTCACCTATGAGGACAGGATCCAAGCAGAATGCAATTCCCTCCTGGGGCTGTGGGGCTGTGGAGATGAAAGCGGAATGCACAGGTGGAGCCCCAGTCTCAGGACTGGCCAAGGCTGAGCCAGCTCTGCTAGCTGTGTGGTCTAGAGCAAG